AGGGGTATTTTGGTTATTTTATTTTATTGAAAATATTTTTTTTATATTTTTCATTAGTGCGAGTTTAATAGAGCACTGGACGAAAATTTGGTGTCAAAATAGTTTATAGAAAAAAATTAAAAATAAAATAGTGTAGATACGTGACATTGTGATTGGGGCAATCTTAGCCCTCCATTAAAAAATGGATCGTTGGATAAGGGGGATGATAGAACTTCTATGTTGTAGGGGGAACATAGAAAACTTTCCCAAAAGAAAATTTCCAAATCACACTTTATATGCACCAGAGAAAAATAACATCTCAAGATTGAACCAAGACCATACAATTTTTCGAAAGTGTTAGGAAACTTGAAATTTAAGTTTTCTCTTCCAAAAATAATCTAGTAATTCTTAGGTAGTTCCCAAAATTTCAGATTTAAAAAATCCTCCCAAGTAGGTTTTATAGCCCAAGGGGTAGATGGACAGTGTGCTTCCACGAGAGCATAGTATACACGCTCTTTACTTATTAATAGTAGAACAAAAGCAAGAAATTGCGAGTATCTATTCTAGCACTTGAATTCATCATCATCATTATCATCCGAGCTTATCCAACTATTTGAGATCGGCTATTTATCAAGGGCCATACACTCAGTCAGACCATAAGTCACCATACATCTCACTACTTCCATCCATGTCCTTTGGGGCCTTCCCCGTACCATTTTTGAGCCTTCCACTTGAACCAAATCACCCCTCCTAACTGGTGGTGTTCTAGGTCAACATTGTACATGACCAGATCACCTCAATCTACTTTCCCTCATTTCATCATCTGTTGGAGCTACTGAATATTCTTTCGAAATTCTATCCTTCCTCGCCTTGCCACTCATACATCTCAACATTGTCATCTCTGCTGCACTCATTATATGCCTATATTGTTTTTTAACCACCCAGCACTTCGTCCCATAAAGCATGGCTGGTCTTATAGCCATCCTAGAGAACTTCCCCTTCAATTTCATTGGTATGTGACGATCAGTCGATCACTTAAGACTCCAGAAGTGCATCTCTACTTCATCTACCCAGCTCTAATTCTATGAGCAACATCTTCATCAATCTCTCATTTCTCATGGATATCGACCCAAGATATTGAAAATTCTTTTAGGTACTTCTTGGCCATCAATCTAAACTAATTCCTCGTTTATGCTCCTATTATTACTAAACTTGCATTCCATATATTCTTGGTTCAGCTAATTTTAAAATCTTTAAATTCTAAAGCATCCCTCCAAAGTTCTAACTTTGCTTTTATGTCATCTCTATGCTCATGAATCAAAATTGTCATCCGCAAACAACAGATACCATGGGACCTCATCCTATAGATGCTTAGTTAACTTGTCCATAACCAAAGCAAAGATATATGGGCTAAAGCTGACCCTGTTGTAGGCCTACTATCACTGAAAACTCACTTGTCTATCTACTAGTTGTCCTCACATTAGTTAGCTCTCCCTTATACATATCCCAACCTTGTCAATATATCCTATTAAAAATCCTCTTTTTTCCAGCAACCCCACCAAATTATCTTTCTAGGTACCCCCTATCGTATGCTTTCTTTAAATCAATAAAGACCATGTGGAGGTCTTTTCTTTTCTCTCTAAACTATCTGTCAATTATCTAAGTATGAAAAATAGCCTCGATGGTTGACCTCCCTGACATAAATCCGAACTGATTTTTTGATACACTCGTTTTATGTCTTAATTGTTGCTCAATCACTCTCTCCCACAGTTTCATAGTGTGGCTCACAAATTTAATCCCTCGATTGTCCATATAACTATGTGTGTCTCCTTTGTTCTTGTAAATAAGTACCACAATATTTTTCCGCCATGCATCTGGCATTTTTTTTGTTATCAAAATCTTGTTAAATAGCTTGGTCAACCAGAATATGTTAATCTCTTCCATGCACTTAAAAACCTCTATTGTTACATCTGGTCCTAAAGCCTTTCCTATCTTTATTTTTCTTAAAGCTTCTTTCACTTCAGATATCCTAATCCTATCAAAGTATCTATGACCTCTGACCTCATTACCGCTTAATGCAAAGCTCCCATGGTAGTTGTCATTTAAAGAAAAAATTAAAACACATCTTGTCATCGTTTGCCAACAACCTTTTATCTTCACTCTTGATGCATTTAATATGATCTAGGTCCCTATACTTTCTCTCTCTCATTTTTTTGCTAGTTTGAAGACATCTTTTTCACCTTCTCTTGTCCCCAATTTACTATATAGATTATCATAGGCCTTAAACATAGCCTTACTATTTTATTAGCATTCCTGTTGAATTTTCTATTTTCTTTTGAATTCTTATCATTTTTGTTCGCTTGCCAAGCTTTGTAACAATATTGTTTTTCGCTAATAGCATGTTAAAGCTCATCATTCCACCACCAAGTTTCCTTATCTGAAAGTCTTTTCCCTCTAGATTCTCCTAAAATTTCTTTTACCACTTTCTTAATACAATCAACCATCTCATTCCACGTAACATTAACTTTGTCCTCAGAATTTCGTTTTCCTTCTTTCATCAATTTATTCCTAAATAAGTTTATTTTCTTAGCTTTTAAGTTCCACTACCTAGTTCTCGGACACCCATTAATGTCACTCATTCTCTTCCATCTCCTAATGCAAACATCCATAACCATAAGCCTGTGTTGCATAGACAAACTCTCTCCTGCAATGACCTTACAGTCTAGCACTTGAATTCATATTACTTAAAATCTCAAAGCTTCAAAATTCCATATTGTCAGTAGCAGGATTCAGATTTAAACTGCTTAGTTCAGTACAACGAAAATTGATGAAATACATATGCCCCAAAAAAAACCTGTCATTTCCTCAATAAAGAAAGTGGAAAAGATCATGTGATTAGGACTCCATTGCGGCATAGAACTTCAAAAAGTTTCTTATTACACGTATTTTTCAAAAGAAGTTTCTCTTGACTCGCATATAATCTCATAACTGTCAAATCTTGTCCACAAGTTAGAAACCCCAATTCTCCTCATATCCCTGCAATAAGTTAACAGACAAGCATTAATCTTTCATCCTGAAGTGCACTGTAGGTTTGTATGGTTAAGCACCAGAGGGTCCTAAAGAAAACCTTATAATGGGAAACCAACCATCCTCCACAATAAAATTTCAAGATGGAACCTCCGCAATAAAATTTCAAGATGGAACCAATGCAATGGAGGGATTCATCAACCCCACTTTCACAGCCTTAGCTTCCACTTTATCAAACAGCCTCAGGAGTAGATTTTTTCTGTTTCTTTTTTTTCTTTCTTTTTGTTTCTTTTTTTTTTGGGGGGTGGGAGGGGTGGTGGGGGGTTGATAAAGAAAGGGCACCTTATTAATTTTTAAAATATGGCCCTAACCAAGTGAGGAGTATATAACAAGGTATATCATCAATAAAGACAAAAAAGTGCACGTAACCAGCACCAAAGTTGACACTGAATATAATAGTTCGATAACCATGGTGTTTCATTGGCTATGCAGACCAAGATATTATAGAGATCTTCCATATCCTCTGATCACACATACATAATTCAAGAGATTTTCCCTAAGCGTGCTGATGCACACAATCTTTAAGAAACAAAAATTATGTTCGTTTGTTTGTTGGCAAGAGTTGCTGAGAGAAACAGAAAGCAAAAAAGCATCCATGGGAAGAGAGACACTGATGGGAAGGTTCTTTCTGGAAATTCACAGTATCTCCATTTGAGAGACTTCACCAATGGTATCATTATTTCCATCTAAAAATTAGAAAAAATAAGTTCCATGTTATTGTTAGATCAATTGTTTACTTACCTTCCTTTGCAAGTCAATAACTAAGAAATTAAATACATAATTTAAGAAATGGTGGTTGAAAATTTCGGAAGCTACATTAAGGATGGACATGAAGCCATTAGGGATCTCAACAATGGTGCCCAATCATTCTGAGCAAGGAAAAAAAAAATGAATCATAGCAAGATACAACTTATTTGAGCAGAATGGTATAATAATTCACGCTTTCCAGTCCAAACTACGATTTTAACATGACCAATGACCAAAGAAAAAAATGATAAAGGAATATCATTTTGGAAGAAGAAAGAACATGGAAGAGCAGAAATTGTCAGAAGTTAAGAACATATGAATCAGAGGAGATGAAGCTCCATACCTAAGAAACTACAGGCGACAGAGTTGATATAGCTTCTAGCCTCAATGGAATCAAGACCAAGAGCAATAATGTTGAAATCACCGTAAAACTCAATATTCTTATCTTCAATTCGACAGAAATGTGGTACTATATTCACACCACTAACCCGTTCCATCACACGCATAGCAGCAACTTCAGCCTTTGGCTTTCCAACATCCTGAAGCCTACAGAAGTAGTAAAGTACACAATATGAGGAACATAATCCCATAAACTAGATAGAGCAAGCTCCATATTAAAGAGCCTGAGGAAAAAAAAGTAATGTAACTGAACATGCTATATACCAGAAGACACATATAAGTCTTAACTACACTAAAGAATCATCACTCTCCTACTGATCATTCATCTTTTCCACATTTCATACGCAAACTTACACCAGCAATCAAATTCTGCAGTGTTCATTGACCTGAATAGGCCCAAAGCATAGAGTCAACTGGTAGGAAAACCATGTAAGCGTCATCATCACTATCAGAGAGAATAATAAAAAACTTTTACACTATGTTTCAAGTTGATGAGATCAGTCAAGAGGTTTATTAAGGAAGAGGGCATCATTCTTTTAACAGACTAAATGACAGGAGCCATGGACACTGGAAGACATTGCTCCACTCATAACCAATAGTTCCTACGAACTAAACATCGACTGATCTACCCAGCCTCCCTCAGAGTGCTGCTTTTGATATGATTCTCCCTTAGCTTTAAAATGAATCGACTGGATTTCTTATCAGTCCAATAATACCACTTGCAGGACTTTTTCATCAGTCTTTGTTATTCAAATATTAGACATAACCATGAATAGGAATAAAACGAGAATGCTCCTATAGGAAGAGGACCAGCTCCTAGCCACTTTTTTAAGGTTCTCACTAATCCTTTTCGTCCCTGCCTATATTATAGTTGGCTCAAAGGTTCAACCAAACCATTAAATGTGTTACATTCTTCAACTTTGAAAATTTTCAAGTATCCTTCCTTAACATATATATATATATATATATTATTTTTTTTTTTTTTGAGAATTCCTAACATATCTTATTAACCCAACAACTAGGGTACTCCTTAGTGGGTACCTTTTAACCAGCCCAAAAGTTCTGGTTGAACATACGTCCAATATTATCTTCTAATGGGTGAGAGAGAGTATTGATAAATAGGCCTATCATCTAGAACTAGACATCTCGTAAACAAGTGGAAGGTTCTCAACCTTTTTCTTGATGATTGAATCCTATGGCATGGATCACATATTTCTAACTCCCTAAGTACATCGAACAAATCTGAGATTTTTTATTGAATTTCTTCGTGGTTTTGAATTCCAATACAATCTGTGTGTTGGAGAACATGTTTTCATGAATTTGGAGCCAAATTTATCAAAAATTGGCCTGAAATTTGAAGTTCGGAGAAGTTCCTGAGTTATTCATAGTGGTTAAGCTTTTCCATATCACAAGGACTCCAACTTCAATTTACTCAAAAAAAAAAAAAGGACTCCAACGTCAATCCAAATTGTTGGTTTATTACCATAATTTGAATTCCAATATCATTTTGACCCTTTTGTTAATATTTGAATCCACTAACACTTCAATGCTTTTGCTTCGGTTATGTGACTATTCAATCACAAAGATATCGTATCCTGCATTTTGACCACCATTAGGTGTTTCCAAACTTAGGCTGATCCAAAAACACCCCGAACAGTTGGTTTATTGCCAATCTTTGGGTTTTAAGTGAAGTTGATTATATTTCGAACTCTATCCAAACTCTGTTGCTTCAAACACATGACTTTTGCAATCATATGGTTAAATTGTCAACCTGCATTCTCCCCGTGTTAAGGACTTAGGCATTTTTTAGTGTTTTACGAGCTAGCATGTCCCGGTTTTCGCCAAGATTAAAGACGCATACATTTTTTTAGTCATGAAAACCGACAAAAAACAAACAAAGCATCATGTGTGCAAATTTCTTTCATGCATGTGATGCTTGGCCTTCAACACGTCTACATCTGCTGTCTCAAAAAAGGTGGTGAGTGTGGTCTAAACTTCAAGATTGGAGATTCTTCTTCATGATTTTGAGCATTGTAATCGAAGTTCTAGGTATTGCAATTAGGACCACTATAATATGCAGCTTAAAGTCATGCAATAAGGGTGATATATCATGCAGTTTACCATCACACAATAAGGTAAAAATGCCAAGCAATTTAAAATCGTGCAGATTGGACCAGCATAACTTGCAATCTCGCATCACGCAGCAATGACAATTACATCATCTACATATTCAGTCAGGGACTTAACAAAGTTGCCCATAATGACATGCTAATACATCAACCATGAACAAAACAAAAATACACGTGATATGCTAATTTCAGGACTTAAATGTCAGAATCATATTGTAGGACAATGGAAGAAAATAAGGAAAGATTCCACAAAGTTTATACTCATGTGACGAGGAGTTTCACACAGTTTATATTCGTATAATGGGAAGTATTACATGTGTCACATAGTTTAGGCTCTTGTTCATGGGAGCATTACATGTGTAATAAATTTTTTTACAAAACCAATCAAATAAGGATTTTTTCAATTTTAATGAACATTCAATTGGGGAGCATTGTGACATACATTTTAAGCTCGTGTCTCTAGGAGTGTCTATGCCATGCAGTTTAGAATCCTGTGGCTGGGAACATTACATATGAAAGAAATATTGCAAAAGAATCAATTAAGATTTTTGCATTTTAAATAATTTTTTGTAGTTGGGAGAAAGGACTGATGTAATTTTGAGTGCTTTATGCACTGGTGAAACCTGGTTTTCACCATTTTTGGAGACTTAAGCATTTTTTAAGGGCAGAAGAACCCTGAAAACACAACGATGGTGAAATACACAAATTCTAATTAGACATACCATCAAATTACCGGAAGTAAGTTATAAAATGACACTTTGAAGAATTATTATCCTTCTTGTCACTTCCTTAATTTAAGAATCATACCGCACGAAGTAAAGTCTACTGAAACAAACCAAGACATAATAAAACAACATGGCTTGATGATTCATTTGGACAACTACTATAACAAATGTGGTGTATCATCAACAACAAACGTGTACCATGCAAGCAATCGAGTAATAACCTCCCCAATAGTATAAATAATCCATGAACATGAAAAAAGTAACATCTTGTGTAAGAAAAGCATGGGCAATATAATATTGTTACCTGAATAGGAATTGGCGATTCAAATTGGAGACCTCAATTCTGTCCATATCTATCACTTCGAGATTCCGAAAACCTGACAATGCCAAGTCCTTGAGCAACTCACAGCCTAAGCCACCAGCACCAACAACCAACACCTTTGCATATGCCTGCAGGTCATCTCTCAGCTGCACAATAAAACCAACAAACTAATTCTCAATGTCACCAAATATTCACTAAGCTCTATACTTTTACTTGTCAACAGTGAAAATGAAAATGAATCTGGTTATGGTTTTCTCAAAACACACAAACGTGCGTGCGCACATAAACTGGTTTTGTTCAGATATTCCCTCTCCTAGAGTATTTCGTTAACCTACTCAACACTTTTGGACATATTCTTACAATGTAGCAACTTTTGCTTAGCAGATTTTTACGTAATAAATCGATCAAGGATAAAGTAGAAAGGTTTGGTAGAAACAAAAACAATTGTCAACAATGGTGGAGATTGACATCACCCACATGGAATGTGATATCATCCACATGGGGTGTACTGCTTTTCATAACTACTAAAATGCCATTATTTTTTCATAAGAATATATATTCTACGCCTCACTAGCAACAAAAAATTCCTGCTCAAAAAGTTTTTGTATTACAAAGCATGGGTAATGAGTGCCCAATGAATGTTGTATAGGTTAAAGGAACACTCCATGAGAGGGAGTGGCCAAACAAAACCCCGTATTTCATCTGCCCAAAAGCAGACAACAAGTGTATTTTCTGCTTTATATCATTTTTGTGGGCCTTAGAGAAATTTGTTCAAGCCCAAATTTTGCACACACGCGTTTGGATATGATGATTAATATTGCAAGAAAAAATTGAAAAAAAACGGTATTTCTTATGAGAGGGAGACTTTAGTAAATATGGATTGTCCATTTTAGGTGTCCTAAAATGGTGCTAGTCGAGGTTATACATACATTTGCTTGACTCCAAATTTCGTCGATTGCCTCATCATCACTAGATAAAAAATTTGAAAAAGAGAATTGAAGTTAAGTTCTCTTAGACGTAGATTTTACCATTCAAATACACGGATGACCAATGTTCACTGCTGGGGCACGTCTAGCGTGCATGTTAAAAAAAGAAAAAAAACAAAAAGATGATCTATATTTTCTTTGGGCACTTCTAGGGAGCACGTTAAATGACAACAATAATAATGATAATCACAGTGGCACTAGGATGAGCAGGGATTATCCCTAAATTTGGATACAAAGGGTCCGCCTAGCTATTGGCCTTGAGCTAGGAAAGACGCTGTAGTCCTGTAGCTGTCTGCCTTTAGGTGTTTTCAGAATGGGATGCCTACAAGCCATTCGAGATGAGATCAAATATGAGGAGCACATAGAAGCTGAAAAGAAAAGAAAATAAGATATAAAGATAAATAGAAGCACTTCATTCAGTAAACGTCTGCATTCAGTGAAGTCATTAGCATGCAGATTGGTCTCTTTTAGCTCTAATTTGACTGGTACCAGCATGATAAAAAAGAGAAAACGATTAAAAAAATTGACAATCATAAGAATCCTTAATCAAACCGAATAGAGGCAATAATTGAAAAAAATATTTCAGAATACACATACACAATAAAATAAAATAATAATCATTAAAAAAAAAAAAAGCACCCTTGGGAATATCAAGGATTTAAATGTGACCAAAGAAAGAAAATCTCATCTTTGTAGTGGAAGTCAAGGGTTTTTCCATACACAGAAGGATTATCACCTTCGAGATGCAAAGAGCCTTTAGAAAAACATAAAATTCGTATCCCAAATTATTAGAATCTAAAACCAGATTATTATTTTTTAAAAAATAGTAACCAAAATGAACCAAAATTATTTCACAATACAGGATAAAGCTTGCCCATATGCACATGCATAGAATTAGGGATCATAAATTTCAGGAGAATCGAGTCGGAGTGGTTTGCTTTGAATCAAAGCCAAAGAAGAAGAATATCCTAAGAGAAATCATCATCACAATTGGGGAAAGAAAGAAAAAAAAAAAAAAAACAATGCGAGAAATAAGATGGATAAAAAGTGGGGAAGAGTAGTAACCTGAGGTCCTGGTTCAAAGTTTGGGCCTACGATATTCCCCGGTCTCACCAGGAGCTTGTCCAGGTCTCGCCATCGATTTTCTCCACTAACACTGTTGTGGTTGTCCATGAGATTGTCCTCTGCACTTAAATGGGCTTACTTCGCCTTTACCCTCCTCGTTTCAGAGATGGAGCATCGCTTATTTATACTCTACTAAGTTCTCATCAAATGAGAAATAATTCTTAATCTAAACCAAGGAAATAATAACATGCTGCGTTTTATACTCTACTAAGTTCTCATCAAATGAGAAATAATTCTTAATCTAAACCAAGGAAATAATAACATGATTCGTTTTAAAGGGAAGCATCCTTCATCCATGTAAAGGAGAAAAAAATTCTCCATTTCAATAAATAAAATAAAAGTGGAGATAACACTAAATACCCCTTTTTGGGTACAAAAAAAATATGTCCTCTATTTTTCATTTTACATGTGTGGATTTTTTCTTTTTTCTTTTTTCAAAATACTTACTGTTCCAAACTCCAAGTTCGGAATGGGGCATCAGTACAGAACTTATAAAGTTTTCAAATTTTTTATTGAAACCGGTTCAGAACTTAAGTTACGATGATAGACCTATCCAGAATTACTATATATGTTTGGTTTAGACGATAATGATTATGATCTCCATGTACAAAAGATTGATGATCTCTTTATAAACAATATTTTTTAAAATCTTAAGGTATGTTTAGTTTAGACAATAATGATTGTGATTTTTATGTACAAAAGATAAATGATCTCTTCGTAAACAATATCTTTTAAAGTCGAGAATTGTTATTAAGGAATTTTACTTTTTTCCCCTCCAAGTCATATTTTTATTATTTTAATATGATTGATGTTAGTTTGGATATTTCTACTTGTTAGTTTAAGGAGATATATTATGCTCCCTAGGGGGCAATGCCTCATAATACACATTATAGTTTGGAGCATAGTATATTTTCCTATAATATTATGCGTGATAAAAGTTCATGAGAAATATGGGACGTAGTATCCTTTCTTAGCTCTAAATTCTAATTAGAAGATAACCAAAATGTTTCTTATAAATAACTAACAAATAGAAATATGGTGCACCTCAAAATTCCACTTAAAAAGGTTGTTCCAATGTTCAAAAACCCATAATAGATCATCTTGACCTCAATATACATGGACATGGAAAAACAACGATTTCAAATCCTAAAAATAATGCTCCTTGTAATATACCATCTAGACCGGCTATTTTCAATTTTCAAAATATTTATAGATTTGCTCGATCTATACTAATTTTTTAGCTTTAAATTACATAATTAAAAGTATAAATAGATTTTAAGAACTTAAGGGTTTTCAACAACGAAACTGTATTTTCTAACAAGATTTAGTTGTGAGACTTGCTTTGATTGTTTGTTGTTTAATGTCTGCACCTTATAGGTACTATTGACCCCCAAAAACACACCTTATACGAACTGCACCCTTTCGCAATGGCATGCCAATATTGGTTTAATGGCGTCCATGTTGGAAAATCTCTTCACATATGGTAAGAAGTCCTCTTGTGTTGAGTTCAAAGTGCTTGCATACTAAGCTCAAGACAATAAACTCCATGGTTATAGTCAAAGTTGCTAGTAGGAATCTGGAGTTCTTGTGATTATGCCTAACACTAAAATCTAAGAGACTTTATTATGTGTTATTGTACTAATTGATGCCATAAGAATCCATATTTTCTATCAGTGACCTAAAAAACATTCGGTCGATATGACATTGCTTTATTTGACCAGAAAATCAATCACCCCTACCAATTTTGAATATATAGGAAATCGTTTGGGTTTAGAAAAGAATCGCCGATTTTAGTGGTTTTTTTGGCCAGTTCACTCTCTTTACTTGTGTTTTTTCGCCGATTCACTATTTTTATTTTTACAGTTTTTTAAATTTTTTAAAAATGTCCACAGTGGCAAACTCATGTTTTAAAAATTAATTGTTGTTGAGCTGATAAATTACAAGATTTTTCAGCATTAAAAGAACCTTTTTCAGATGGATTTTTTAGTTGGCCCGAAACAATTGTATTGGCACTAGAGGGAGGAAACCGGAGCATTGGCATTGGCATTGGAGTAAGAGAGAGAGAGAATGGCACTTCAGCAGGTTCATCTTCATCAAAGCATCCACCCGCCGTCCTTCCTATCTGCAAATACCACCATCCTTCTTTCTCACAAATTCGAGACACAAGACAACAACATAAAAGCGGCTCAATTCATCAGCAGTCGACCCCATCTCATCACCATTGCTGCAAGAAAACGACTATCTAAATCATTCACGAAAACTATTCACACATCTGTGAAATGGGTTTTCTCTGTGGCCTCGAATCACAAGCTCTGGTTGCGCTTGCTCCTCTCTTCCACTCTGGGAAACACAGAGTGTGGGGCATTCATCGGTGGCATTGGCAATGGAGGAAATCTAGGGTTTGGGAGGCGATTCAGAGGGGGAGGAAGGTGGTGGAGAAGAGGGAGAAGAAACCGATGGGTGGCTTTGTTGATTTTTGGGATTGTTTTCATGGTTTTAGGGCTACATTTTGAAGGGAAGCCGGATTTTAGGGCATTGGTTTTAGGGCTTTGGATGGTGGTTACAAGGGTGAGAGGCTGGGCAGGTTGGAGGCTCAAATGACAAACAAAACAAACTAAAAAGAGAGTTTTTTTTAATCACTCCATTTTATCTTATTTGGCTAGAGGGAAACACAGATCTCTCACTTAATTATTTGGAATTTATTTCATGAGCTCTCAATGATACTGAGGTTCTTTCATTATTTGTGTAGTTTCAACATTTTAGAAGTTACCATTTTCAACTTTTAAGCTCGTGTTTTTTTTTTTTTTTTTCCCTTAACACCTCTATGAATCGATGTTCAAAGACACGGATTGGTGACCCAGATTGCCAATCCCAAAAATTGGTCTGGACGGGCGGATTAGCTGCCATCTCCTCCTATGGATTCACGATCCAAATTCGATGATTTCATTTCAGATCAGTGTTTTTCTCAACCCTGCTCTGAATTATTAGTTTTTGGTCTTTTTGACTATCTACAATCAACGGTTCTAATTAATAGTTTTGGACTACTTTGATTCCTTATAGAGGGCGATATGTTTGTCTTCACAGTGAGCAAGCGATTTGAGGGGTTAATTATAAATGATATTTGCCTAAATTTCCAAAAAAATGAAATGTTAAATGGTTGGGATATATTTTCCTTCTTTATTACATGGACTTCGATGGGTCGTGAATTCGTGATATTAGGTTTGATTGGAGGTAATGGATCCGGCTTGAAATCCTAGCCATAGTTATTATAACAAAAGGATGAGATCATGTTACTTACAAATGGTTCAAATTAAGTAGATCTATAAACACATTAAAATCTTGAAAATTGACAGTCCAAATACTGTTTTGTAAGATGTACTATTTTAAGATTTGAAATATTTAATTTTTTTCATGTATGTATATCTTGATGTCGAGATGATAAATTTTTCCAACATCAAAAACCAGCTTTTTCGAATGATTTTAAAAGTGCACCTTAATTTTATATTTTAAGGTGTCGACCTTATATAAACTTTTTCCATCCAAAAAACCACTTTAAAAAAACTCATCTAAATGAGTAGATGACACTTTACACCTGAATTGGTGTGTGTAACACTGGTCTCTTCAAACTCTCTTTAAGACACTCTTGTCCACCGACCCCATGTACATCCCTCGGCCTTCAGCTTTGTGAGAGATATTTTATACCTTCTTGAGGGCCTCTCTATCCAGACAAATTTGGGTGAGGGAGGGCAATGGGTTCAAAACCTCAAAATAAAAGCCCTTAAAGTTTGTGCCAAAACACCCAAACAACCTATTGGCCTTTGTTCTTTTAAATTTTGCACGCATGTTCCCCATTTTTACTCCATTTTTTATGTTTTCCCAAAAGCCCTTAGATCATAATTTGGCATTCCGAACTAGGGGTACTGTTTTTGCTTAATTTTTGGTTTATAATGTCAAGTTTGAAACCAATTTTTTTTTTTTTTTTTGTTAGAAGCTCGATTTAGATCTTGAAGATTTGAATTTAATTACTTATATAAATTTTTTTTTTTGTAACATGTCGGTTTAAAACTCGATAGAGCAGAATGACATAGCATGATTCGTATAATCGACCTCAAATAATTGAGATAAGACTCTGATGACGATTTTAAAACTTAAAAGTATCTTGAAACTTCACCCCATCTATAAAAGAGGGATCACTCCCACACAAGCACACCATAAACACAATCCCTCACATAAATACATTTGAAGATTTTTTATTTTTATTTTTTTTAAAATAGCAAGATTCTAGTGGTTTCAACGTTTCAAAAAAAAATACTCATACGCATTTTGCCTGACGGAATAAGTGTATAGAGTGCCATTGGAGGAGTGTGTTCTCATGCAAAATGTGTGCATATATGTGTGTATTTTAAAAAAAAAAAAATTTGAGATGAACTTTATAATAACTTATAATTATTTTTAAAAATTAAATAGTCTATATATATATATATATATATATTTGAGGGAATTCCCTCTATTAAGAAGGTTTGGATTTTGGAATACTTTTTGTTCGCTCTCGGAAGTCCAAGTTTCAAACTGATCATAACATAAAAAAAATATATTAGTAATTCGGTTGGAACTCACGCTTACTAGCTGATTTGAACTAAAAATTCAAGTTCTAAACTTGAAATAGTAAAAAAAAAAACAAACAAAACAAGATACATTATGGGAAAAAACAACAACAAAAAAAAAAAAATACATGGCCGTAAGTTTTACAAATTTAGATAAATTTTTAAGAGTTATGATACTATGAAATCCTCCCGCACCTATGTGAAGAGGACCTCAAAGGATCACGATTAAATTTTGACACAGATCTTTAAAAAGGTTATCAATAAACCTATTCACCCAAGTCCCACACCCATGGGATAACTTTTCTAGATATATGTATCAAAATTTAATGGTGATTATTTGAGGTCTTATTCACATGGGTATGGGAGGGTATCATATAGTCATTGCTCATTTATTAATATCCAAATTTATTTAAAGAAAAAAGTTTAGATAAGTTTACAACCTTAAAATGTAGAATTACAAATACGCCTCAAATCCATCGGAAAAGATTGTTTTAATGTTGAAAAACCATCTAATTGATCATCTCGACATTGATATTAATGAATATAAAAAAAAAAAAAAATTTCATATAAAAAAATAGTGCATCTTGCAACCCATTATTTAGACCGTCTATTTTTAAACTTTTCATATGTTTATAGATGTACTTGATTTTAACTATTTTTAAATTTTTAAATTTTATAATTAGATATTAAAATAGATTTTCAGATAATCCCAAAAAATTTTTACTTCAAATTTATATGTTAGGATAAAATTTGGAGGTGATTGTTAAAATATGTAGACATTAATTTTTTCGTTGCTCTCACGGGTTACTCCCTCGCAGGAACATTAATTATATCTTAGAAAGACCGAGGGAGCATTGGTCATAAAGAGAAAGAACAAAGATGATATTTGCCACATCACTATCATATCACATGCGGAAGACGCTCCCAGCCTCTGCTCTGCTCTGCTCTGCTCTGCTCGGGGCAGCTGTGAATTCGATAGGAGGGAGGTACTCTTCTTCTCTCTCTAACCTCTTCGATCCATCATTCTCTCTCTAAAGCTCTTTAATTTCTTCTATTTATTCTTCTCTCTCTCTCTCTCTCTCTCTCTAAGCTCTTCAATTTCTTCATCTTCCTCCGCCAACTCCTTTTCTCTTAATTGTGCAACATAATTTTTACGACCCTAGAACTTGAACCATATCAGCCATGTACTTGGAATCAAGTTTTGTCATATGATTCCTTATTTTTGCACTCTGTATTGATGAAAGAATGATCTCTTGCTCACACGTCACGTGTAATATAAAAGACCCAGAAACCATGAAGGCGTTATGCAGGGGTATAACTTGCCCCCATTTTGAATCATCAAGCCTGAGCTTTAATTTCCCCTATTTCAAACCATGGAACAAGATTTTGTTTTTAGGTGGGCAGAAGAAGATTGGGGTGAGAGCTAGAAATGGGTTCTCCATTGATGCTAAAATGTGGTCCTCGGCAACTTTGGATGCTTCATCGCAACAACAAATAAGTATCCAAACTGATAGGAAACCCAATAGATCGTCCTCTCTGTATAGTAGACCGAGTTTGCTAGAAATGCAGAAAGAGAAGCAAACCAATAGGGCCATGGTTTATGAGTTTTTGAAGGGAATCGGAATAGTACCTGATGAACTTGAAGGTTTAGAGTTGCCAGTTAGCATTGATGTAATGAGGGACCGCGTCGATTTCTTACACAAATTGGGACTCACCATCCAAGATATAAACAACTATCCCCTTGTCTTGGGTTGCAGTGTTAAGAAGAACATGATACCAGTGCTTGATTACTTGGGCAAATTGGGTGTTCGCAAGTCAAATTTTACTGAATTCTTGAGAAGGTACCCACAAGTCCTCCATTCTAGTGTTGTGATAGATTTAGCGCCAGTAGTGAAGTACTTGCAAGGCCTCGACATTAAACCAAATGATATCCCTGGCGTGTTAGAGAGATATCCAGAAGTATTAGGTTTCAAACTTGAGGGTACCATGAGCACCTCTGTGGCTTATCTGGTAGGAATTGGGGTTGCTAGGAGAGAGATTGGAGGGATTCTTACTCGATATCCTGAGATATTGGGCATGCGCGTTGCAAGGGTGATCAAGCCTTTTGTTGAGTATCTTGAAGCTATAGGGATCCCGAGACAAGGTGTTGCAAGATTGATTGAAAAGAGGCCACATATACTCGGCTTCAGCTTTGATGATGGAGTGAAGCGTAATGTAGATGTGCTTTTAGAGTCTGGAGTAAGGAAAGAGGCACTGAGTTCGATTGTAATGCAGTACCCTGAGATCCTTGGTTTAGAACTGGAGCCTAGGATTGTGTCTCAACAACACTTTTTTAACTTCAATCTTGATATCAGTCCTGAAGAGTTTGGCAAGGTGGTGGAAAAGATGCCACAGGTTGTTAGTCTCAGCCAGACACCTGTAATAAAGCATGTCGAGTTCTTGAAGAATTGCGGATTTTCGACGGAAAATGTTAAGAGGATGGTGCTTGCTTGCCCTCTAGTTCTTGCTTTGAATTTGGATATTATGAGACTGAGCTTTGATTATTTCCAGACTGAGATGGGAAGGGGGTTGGAAGAGCTGGTAGAGTATCCGGCTTTCTTTACCTATAGCTTGGAGTCGACCATCAAGCCTAGGCATCGGAGGATTGCTGAGAAGGGTTTAAAATGCTCTTTAGCATGGCTTCTCAATTGTTCGGATCAAAAGTTTGAGGAAAGGCTTGACTATGATTATATTGACATTGAGGAAATGAAGACAGAGCCTTCATTTAGTATGGCAAGCAGGTTGGCACAAAGTGCAGATGAATCCACTTCAGAGGATGCGGATTATAGTGAAGATGAAGACTTTTAAGCTGATAAATCTTTAAATGTTCTACAAAATTCATATCATCTTCAGTTGAAAGATCTTCCTTAGAATGCTGGCAAGAGCTGGTTGTTGGCTTTTTTTAGAACAGCCTTTTCAGATCATGTGAATTTCCATCTTTTCAAGGACTCTTACCTTTTCAGATCACTATCTGCAAAGACCAGAAAACTGTTGCAGCTTTCTTTTGTACTTCTCAGAAGGTGCATCCCTGAACAACTCTGTTTCTCACTAAACAGGTGTTGCAGTTTGTTGTTGTTTTCTTTTATACCTATAATCGAGGATGGTTGCCCCATGAACATGTTTGAATGTGATTATAGACAATCGCCTTTTCTCACACAAGTTCATCTTTGAAGTCGCAATAAATGGTTATGTTGCACAACTTCTTGATGTTATATCTACAGTTGTGCTACACATACTCACAAACACAAAAGCTGCATGCATACAATCAAGTTGCTCTGGGGACATGTGGATATCTTCAAATCTGTAGCTTAATTTATTTTCTCTTTTAGGCAAATCAGAAATTTTTAGGTCAATATACTTTAGCGAGGATTTTATTGGGAACAAGGCTTGCTCAATTGCTCCTTGTTGCGGTGAACTCCCAATGAAAACAAATCCAATACCTCAAACCAACTTACCTATTACAGGCAAAATGGTTTCCAGAGACCTAAACACGCAAAACAATATTTTGTATAATAAATATGATAATAAAAGGAAAGCAAGAGAAGCAAAATAAGAAAACTCAAAACCGCTAAAACATTCTAAACCATAATCCAACCACCATCAACACGCTTATACGTGGTTCACCCTAATCGGGCTACATCCACAGCCAACTGGAAAGGATATGATTTGATTGTCATGTTATTCCCCTTTCCACTACCACGAAACAACCATAAAACCAACCTCCATTATTGACTTCATAACCATACCTCCACCTACAATGGAAACACCAATGGAACCACCTGGCACAATGTGAGCTATGTTTTCGCTAAAACCTCCCAATCTTAACCTTAACCAAAGCTCTCCGTAACAAGATCTGCTTTTTCTTTCAACAAAATAGCTTATAAACCCTTAAAGTGTTTTTCACAATTACTAAAAATCCCCTGAACAGTTAGTGAATATTTTGGATCACAACCCATAGATTTTTTCAATTTGCCATTTTTCCTCCACAAATACCTTCAATGTAAACGGATGTTGAAACTTCAATTTGCTTTTTTCTTTCCCAACAAATTTTCTGTACATAACCGGGATTGCCACAAATCCAACAATTACTTTTGTCACAACACCCATCTATTTTGATTAGAAATGAGGCATGCCACATGAGGAATTTCTTAATGAATCACCATGTTCATCTAACTACCCTCTTTCCATTTGAATATTGATCCTTGAACCCATCAAACTATCCATTGATACCTTCCTTTGAAGTTCATCAATAAGGAGATCAGTGCAAACGGGTCAATTTTAGGGATTTGTCCTTGAATCCGATACTCTTGAGTTGAAATTACGCCGTATTTATTTAAGTGTTTTGACACTTTCATACTATCTCACATCCTCAAAGAATACAAATTTCTTTAAAAAAAAATTCAATTTGTGAGGGATTTGGTTTGGTACAATGGTGAGTAACTTTTTATCCAATTGTTCACAATCATCATCCTTTATACTCACCTGTTTCTTGGATCTTACTTGCATTGCTTTATATGGATCTTGTTGCACTAAGATATCGTGAACTTAATTTTCCAATGTTCGAAATCTTTTCTCTGATCAGACTTCTCTACTTCAAATTTGTAACTTCAAAATTCGTATATGATTCCTTGAGCTTTGATAACACTTGGTTTGAGCTGAGACATGCTCAATTGCCCTGTCTTGTGGTGAACCCCCAACTACAATATATCCAATACTTCAAAATCAACTTGCCTATTACTGGCAAATTGATTGCAAGGTACCCAAACAGGCAAGAACAATATCTGGTGTAAGAAATTTGAGAAAATAAAAGTAAAGCAATTACATGGGCTGGTTCCGCAACTTTGGTAGCTCAATGAGGCCTTATGTTGCTTTTTTAGAAGAGTTGTGAAACATCCATCAAAAGCAGACGGCTGTGGACCTACTAGTCAATACTGTAGATATCGACCAGTTTACCATAGAAAATAATTTTCTTCTTGGAAAAGGATGATTACTTCGACCACTGAAGTATCCACTTGTTGTTCTTCGGCTCTGACATAAAAGTTCTTGGAGTCCTAGGAAATGTCATAAAGTCCTATGAAAAATACTGAAGTCAAATTGAAGATGGCTTGTTATATGGGTTTCAGCTTGGACTTTTAGTTATTGAGATACCTTATCTTTCTTAAACATGAAACACCTCCACATGTACAACTTGTTGTAGTGACTTTGTATTTCTACTGTGAATCTAATCAAGCGTAGATGGTGTATTCTGGGACCATAGTCAGTCATGAACTACAATTTCTACAATTTTAACTGCAATTGTCACCAATTAATTATTCTGGCTACGAATTCTTCTTTTTCCTTATGAAAAGTGGTTGGCCTAATAACCATACAGATGATGTTTCAATGAACTCCAGATGTTTGTGAATCATAAATGTGGCTCATCCCAAATGCATTTTGTTCACTAAATCATATAAGCCCATGCTTCCACACGGTTTCATGCTTTGTTTTTAACTCATCTGATTCATAGGATTGTATGTAGACAGATATGCTTCTCCCACTTCTATCAAGCTTTGTGCGCAATTGATGTAGTACATATTTGAATCAAATATGAAATGCACTCGTGATTGGTTTCTATCGAAAAAGTGAAATGTAGTCCAACATTGATGTAGGCAACTTATGCAACCTGCACTAATAACTCCATGCATTCGTCTCATGGTTATGGAACTAAGTTATTTCGGGCATCATACTGGTGCGGTTTCTTCGAGGTGCACATCATTAACCTTTTTTGTCTCATGGTTTTGGAACTAAGTTGACTTTTTCTTCTGCATTTTTTTAAAGTTGCCTATCTTTGTATTCTACTATTCTATTTTGGTGCAGAAAATTGGCCTATCTTTGCATTCTTTTGGTGCAGAAAATTGGCATATGAATTTTTTTCAGATCCAATTGCCTTCATAAACTCATTGGAGTAGCTCGTGTCTCACATCCACTTGATTCTGTCCTTAGCCAATTATAAAATCTAAATCGTTCTTCTAACAAGTTCTTGAAATCGATGGACTTCCATTGGATTTCAAATCTCTCCCCAGAAGTTGACCTAAACATATTGCCCCAAAAAAAGAAAACAAAAAAATAGTTAAAAATGTACTGTTTAATTAAATATGGTGTGACTTTTAATTTTTTACTGCCTTTTATGCCATTCGTCTTTCCCCTTTCGGCCTTATTATTGTTTTACTGTTTTTTCTAATCCAATTCGAGGTGACTTTTACTTCTGTCATTTGATAGGCAGAGAACACTGCTCTAGGAAATTCAATTGCTTTTATCGTTTTCTTTACCAGAAGTGAAATCCACAGTTCTAGTATGGATGCTTGTACAGATCAACCATGAGTTGGTGCAATAATGCAATTGTTCTTAGGATTCAATCCATGAGTGATTGATGTTTACAATTCGGTTTTGATGATCTTTGACTCTGGGTCAAACTACAACGGCTTGCTGTTATCTTCTTTTCTTCTTCATGAGATACTGCAAATAAGGGGGATCACCCTGATCAAAGGTGATGCGGATCAAGAGATGGATGGATTCAATATTTTTATTCCTTTCAAATTTTAGGGGACAATTATATTTTTATTTAGGGTTTAGGGGTCATGCTGGTGATGCATGAACCTACTCTCTGCATTAGATAAAGTAGAAAGAAATGGCAAATGTTTGATTCAATAACACACCCATTAGATTACCGACTAATTTCTGGATATTAGGTATCCAAAAGTTAATAGAATAATGCATTTTGACAAAAATAAAAACATATGTTTATGAAATATTCCCATTTGATTTTGTCAAATTTGTCATTACTATACACTTTAAAGTAGAATATTTCGGACCTATTTATTCTAGTTTTTCTTAAAAATGCACAAATAGCTATTGTTTCCCTTATTTTGAAAATATCAACTGTAATATCTATTTTTCTATTATTTAAACATTAATTTGGTACCCAATGTACTGGAATTAACCAATTATTTAACAGGTGTTTTATTAGATGAAACATCTGTTATTTAATGCCAATTTGTGTAACACAGAGAATATGGTCCGTTGGCATTATAATGATTGTTGCTCGGCAAGACTCTCCAATATTTGCCCATCCATGCCACTGGCAGTATGCTACTTTCTATCGGAATGCAGGGAGGACAGGAACTTATCTTGGAAACTTGGAAATTAATTTAACAAGACCATTTAAGTTTTCTTTTGGACATTCTCACCCCACTAGTTTATCATTATGTGAATTTGGTAGGCTGGGGAGTGTCTTTCCTCTGCCAATAGGCCTTAAAAAAATTTCATTGACATTGAGCAGAGCAATGACACATTCCAGGCATTGCTTTTCACATCTGAAGGCTTGGGATGGTACGAATTTTCAACCAACCTTGTTTTTGTTTTGATAATGACTTTCGTTAGGAGAACACTAACAAGATATTGTTTCTTTAAGGGAAACAATATTAGTTGTAGATGGTATATGCTACAAAATGCAAACATTTATGTTCATTTTTTATGTGGGACGATAAGGTTTAATGAGAGTTTCCACTTCACACAGTTAACAGCATCAAAAAGGAGAAGGGAGTTTCCACTTCACAGGCATGCAATTAAGCAACACCATTTGGTTTCCGTCCCCTGTCACAATTTGACCCTATTTGAAAGTATACCACGCTCAAATTTTCCATTGGACCATTTGATTTCCACAACTTGTTTCCTTCTCATTGAGAAATAGGCCCAAACCTCGGTCCTCAAAGCAAGGTGAACTTGTTTTGCAAAAAAAATTTGAATCTCATTTGTCAGGGAAGGATTTCAAGTTATCTTATAGGAAAAGAGGGGGATGAGGGTATGTGAGAATTCGGAATGTCATTTGTCAAGAAGGGATTAAGTTGTGAAAAGAGGTGGATGAGGTGCACAAGAACTTGAACTCTTTTGCTGCATCTTTTCTCTACACCAAACCTCTCTCTCTTTCTCTCTATCTCCAGAACCCCAGCCCTCCCCCAACCACACAAACACCGTGGGTGGGGGGGGGGGGGTTGGGGAACCAAACCTTCAAAATCTTTAATATCAAACCTTAAAAACCTTTCTTGCTCACACCAAAAGCAATAGGAGAATGCATCTTCATCATCAGCAGCAACTATTTGTCCGGGTAACAATTTCTTTTTTCTTTGGATATGTCAATTCCTCTCGGAGTTGGGTTTTCTATAGATTCTATCTTTGTTGGATTAAACCTCAGAATATTCTCTCTCTCTTTCTCTCTCTCTCTCAACGGAGCCTTCAAAATTCCCAAATTCCACCACGAATTTGTGGAGTTTTAAATCTTCATTCTTTGCTGCTATTGCTCAGTTTTTCCTGTGTTTTCATAATCCTCCATTTCTCCATTTTTATTACTCATTGACCTTGCACTATGTGAGCTCCCTTTTCATGATGTCTCTCTTTTGGTAATTTTTCTTTGCGTTTTCGTGGAGCCTAACGATTTTTCTATTTTTGGTCCTGTACTTTTGTTTTTGTTGTGAGGGGTTTGCTCGAAGTGAATTGAGAGTTCCTTTATTGAAGCCTAATCAGAATCTTGATGATGTGATTTCAGAACTTGTTGCACTAGGAAACAAGGTTGGTGATCCTTTATTATCTAGAGTTACCTCTTTGAAGAGTTCAAGCCCAAGGTATGTGTATATTTGATTAATTGGTTCATGGAGGTCTATGATTGCAATCTTGATTCATGTTTGGTATTTCAGTTGAAAGTTACTAATCAAGAAGCAAAAGAAAGGGTATCTAGATTTAGAAGCAAAAGTCACTAGTTTAGTTAGAATCACTAAAGATTGTGCATTTGTTCTTTTAGACCTCAAAACCTTTGTTAGTGGTGTATGTGTATCCAGTGTTTTAAAATTCGGTGCCCTGATCTGGAATCAGGCGATCCGGATCGGGTATCATCCAGCCCATCCCAGATCCGGCGAAAAATGGGATCCTGCCGATTCTCTACCTTGAATCGCCCTGCTGACATCATGGGTCGTCCTTGCTAAGGTGATGGATCTCCTGGTTTGGCCCATCTGTACCCTTTTTCTATTAAAAAATTCAAATAAATGGCCACCTGATGGCCCTTGATATCATCCATGTTCTGTTTACATAACCCTTGCATCACTATTACGTGGGGCTAAAGTTGGAGTTTGCACATGGCCCTGCACCCCAATATGTGATATTCAGTTATGTTGATTCAATTTGTTTTATATGCCGTCTTCGTCCCACATCTTTTCGATGTGGGACAATTCTCATAGTCCATTGTCTCATGGTAACGGCGTTACGTTGGTGTAAAAATTCATTTGTGTTGGTTCAATTTGTATTAGGCTATTAACTAATTGGGATTAAAAAAAAATTAGTACTAGCTCATAGGATATTAAAAAAAGAAAAAAATAATACTAATACTAGTTTAGTGAACGTTAAAAAAAAAAAAACTTTATGGGATATTTTAAGAGAGAAAATAATACTAGCTCATATTTTGGAATTTATTTTCAAGTTGCTTTATCAATTATCCCAAATTGTAAGAATGAATTTATTTATTTATTTTCTGATTTTATTAAAATATGATTGCAAATTTATGCTTTTAAGTTCTATATTTCTATCCACACTAATTATTACACCTTAGATTTATTTACTTGATAGGGTTATACCCTTGTTTTTTGAATCATGTTTATTATAATATTGTAATTAATAATTATACAAATTACAATGATAACCAAATATTTTATTTTATTTATTAATTTATTTACATTATAAAGTATACAATGTATTAATTTTTGTTATAGTTGTAAATTAGATTTTTAAATTAGATGATAGTATAAGACAAATTTTAAATTTATTCTTATTTGTATAGTAAAATGATTATAAAGTAATAAATAAATAAAATGTAAACCAATAATTCTAATTTCAATGGATAATATTGTAATTAGTTAGGTTAATGATAATTTGGGACAAGTAAAGAGAATTAATAAATGTTTGATGTGATACTAATTTCACTTTATATGAGAAAGTATTATTTTTAATCTTATAATATTGATTGAAGTGTTTTCTAATATTTTTAAATTATTTTGATGCATCATTATGTTACTATATTGTAATTAATCATTATACAAACATCCAGACAGGAAAACGTCTCAGTATTCACTGAGTTTTACAAAGTAATGAAAGTACATAATGCACCACTCCTAATTTATTTTAGAAACTAAATGAACACTATTTTTAGAGATTTTTTTTAAAACTTTTTGGAACAAAAATTGCCAATTCAGCCGATTCTCCAAACCGATCCACCAATCTGACACGGGTATGAGTGTGATCGATTCGAGTCAGCGATTCGCTTTTTTAAACACTGTGTGCATCTATGGTTTCTAGACATTATGCATCTGTTCTCTCCAAACCTCTGAAGTTTTTATAAATTGGTTGAATTTTTATTGGGCTTCTTGATATTATATATCTCTTGTTAAAGCTCAAAGCTTGAATAAATTAATTGACATTGTGAGCAGCTATCAAGTGAAAACAATTCAATATTGGTTATTGGTATCAAACTGGTTTAGATTTAGGAAGTTTTTATGATTGCTGCTGTTATATTTTGGTTATTGACCTGGAATTGTGATTCCCTTGATGATAGTGAAGAACACCCATGTCAACTTTCAATTTTTGTAGCTGTATCGGAGATTCTGATTTCACATTAAGTTTTAGTTTGGGTGATTCGGAGCTCAAAGATGCTTTTAGTATTGAATCTAAGAACGATAATATGAGATAATTGTTAAATTGAGTCTTTTGGTGATTATGGAGTTATCAATTTTTCCGTTTTGTTAATGCCTTATTTTCTATCAGAGTCTTATTTGCGGGAACATATCTCGAGCCGAGCTCATTTATCTTTTAGGGTTTCACGAAATTTGGGAATCTCTACTAACTACACTCTTTAATGGCTGGTCCAATCATGCGAAATTGTGGTTTGCTCCTTTCTGTTTTTGAGTTCAATTTGATCTTCCATTTTCTGCTCTTATTCTTCTTCTTCTTTCTTCCCACCCACCCAAACAATGAATTAGTGGCACCATATTCTTGCTAATGTACACAATGGCTAGAAATCTCAATTCATTTTCAATTGGAGATGTAGCTTGAAATGGAAGATCAAAATGGAGTGATGCAAAAGTTACGAGTAAGCGAATGGAACCAATGGTGTTGCAGCTGGCCTCTTTTAGGCAGTTCAGTAACTTGGGGTAAGGAGGGCAGTTGTACTAACGGTGCCGGTCTTTCCTAGCTTGTCCCTAAAATTCTCCCCATCGGCTCTACGACCCCCTCAGTTCAGTCTCACAGCCCCTCTCCTCTGGATATTTAGTTCTAGGAGATGTAAGTAGGAGAATGCCAAGAGACTAACTACATGAGGATACGAGTATTGTTCTGTGAGAATGTCAATAAGAGAGACACCATGAAAGTTCACATACAACTAATGCAGATACTACATTGAAATTCCTTGATTGCAAACAAATACATGGGACATGTTACTGTAAGATGTCAATGATCTCACTAAGATGGTGTAGTTATGTGTAATGAATGAATATATTATTGTGTGGCATGTGAAGTTGAGCATTGGTTAATGATTCCCTGAGTCCAAAGATTTATCATAGATTTCATGGGTAGTTACTCGTTCTGTGTTTGAACGTAAAGTCATGCATTAAATTTTTTGAGAACTTTTACATATTTTGGTGAATGTCTTTGAAGATGCTAAACTAATAGGGAACCCAGTGGAGCTGTTCGTCTTGAATATAGAGATGGAGAAACTCCTAATGCCATTCACAATCTCATATGAAGTAACAGCTGTCTGAATGTGAAATAGTAAAAAGATGTCTACTTTGCAGTCCCCTCAATGTTTCAAAACTTGGCCAAGTCAGCTTGGACTTGGCCTCGGCACCCCGCTGAGGCGAGTTTATGGTACAAATCGGACTTCAAAATTCACTGAAATTTTTTTTTGTTAATAAGTCCCTAATAAATGATTTGAAAATATATCTCTATATAATTTTTATGTTTTTTATGGTGATTTGTAAGTTTTTCTTATTATGCTCTCTAATTTTTTAATTTTCTTTTTTTTGGATTTTTTGAACTGTTTTCAAGATATAAATGATTGTTTTCATAATCCATCTTGTACATTTTTTTTTCCATCTTTTATAGATTTCTAGTGATGTGTATAACTTATTATTATTTTATCGTTTTTAATTGGTTTTAACAAATTTTTGTATATTTTTGGCCTTTTTTGGGCTTGTGCCAGACTAAGGCAAGTCCACTCAGCTTGCCCAGGGGCCAAGTCCTGAGCCCGAGCTGAGTTTTTTAACGTTGAGTCTCCTTTATTTTTTTCGTAGCAAACATTATGTAATTTTCTAGGAAGTATCTTTTACTGCCATTTCATTGGTCCATTCTTTTTTCTATTCCTTGTTATGCTTGTGCATTTAAGGCCTTCTTAATCTTGCTCTGAAGTATATTTTTCCAGATTAGTGTTCTAATGGAAGACAAAGATTTGTTGATTCTCTTATGAATATGGGCTTGGAAGCTGGAAGATTTGCTTACAGTCTTCAGCTATCACTGTGGTCAGGACACCTTGGACTTGATGCAAATGAGTCTATAGTTTGAAATTGACTTACATGTTTACTTGCTTTCAGCTCCTTTATGATAGTTTTTACCACATCGAAGTCATATTGAAAATTGCACTGTGATTACCACACAAGGACTGGAACATATTTTTTTAGTCTCATGCATCTGATAATTTTTCATGTGAGAGACACCTGAACCTGCTTTGCATCATTTGAAAGCTTGCACATCTATTGCATCAACTTTTGAGGATCTTATGTGTACTTTTCGATTATCATATGCAAACACAGAAATGATTTGCCAGTATCCCTGCATCATTGGTAGGATTCCTTTCTGGGGAAACTATCCTATTTGTGAAAATCTTGCCAGGTGCGTTTTCCTTTTTCCCAGCTAAAACAATGTTTGTGCACCATTTCTAAATTATTTGTCCCATTGTTCATTGCATGTGGCTTTCTAGTACCATCTTATGTCTAGAATGCTGTTGGTATAGGTCCATTTTTCATGGTCTACAGAAGCTTACACTCATCTCCTATGAAGTTTGGTTAAAGGAAATCCAGTGTGGGAAAATCTTGACAACTCCTACATCTTGAGATTTTGAAAGAACTTCATTTCTTTCATCTGATTAACTAATTTTGGTTTCTGATATGCATTGGCCAAAATGTGTTTGTTTTTCCTATCAAGCTTTCATATCATTCCACATGTTTATATGTTGCCTTTTTTGTTGTTTTGTGTTAATAGAATTAGTGATCCTGTGGATGATGCAACCACCAGAGAGAAATGGATGGCAACTGCAAAGGTAAGGGTACTTTGCATATAATTTATATGTAGAAGACTTACTAGTATAGTGAAATTTTTATTTTCGATCCAAATAATTGCCTCTTCTCCTTGGAATTTGCCTGAACCCAGCAAAGGCCGTTATCCATTCATTCAGTTGAAAATGTTCCTGTGGGACTGTAAATTGAGCAATCTAAATTAGTTTATTCTCAGGCATCCTCCCGGCCATTACATAGTAGAAAGTCAATATATTGGTATATAATCAACTCTTTACTTGATACAAACGTCAGCATATTTATATATAAGATCTTATTAAAAATGCTATAATCAACTATACGTTGGTACCAAAGTCCGTGCGTTCATTTGGCCATGTACTATTGTTTGTATGGTAGTAGTACTATTGTATTCTTGCTTTATTACTTTTGTGACAATTGACTTGTAGCTTATAATTAAATGAAAATGCTGAAAACCCAATCTTTTCCAGTCGTAATATGTGATATTCCTTAGAATTCGTTGGACAGAGAAAAAATTTAGTCTGATTTTCATTTCCTACTGTGTGGTATTGATCATCCTTGCCGAAATTCTTTTCTCAATGTTATGCAAACAAATATGATGATCTATCAATATATGTTTGGAGCAGTGTTCGCAAAATCGAACCGGAACAGTTAATTGGACATGGGCTCAAAAGCGGTTCAACCGGCCTAACCGGTAAACTAGTCGATTCAACCGTTCTAACCAGGCAAGTCCGTGGTGGTCAAAAAAGTATTGGGAAAAAAAAAATACAAGATAAAATCTAATAAAATATGAAAAGTATATTTAAAGCATGATTATACAAAACACCTCCAAATGATGTTGAAAATTAATGAAAAAAAGGATTTTAAAGAACCGATTTGTGTGAAGGGGTATTTTGAATATTTTTAAAAAAGATGGAAAAATGTAAAAGTAATTATTAATGGCCAAAAAATTTTTTAATCTTTGCCATAATCTTAAAAAATATATTACAAACAAAAATTATTCTTTTTGAGATTAT